CCCCACCTCAGGCAATTAAAAGTTAAACATGTCCCTTAATGGTTTTCAACAAATACCCCTTGGAGAGAAGGCTCTTTGCACTGGGCAGCTCTAAGTTAGGTCAAAAATGGATAGCTTTGCAAGTAAGATCTTTCACAGAAGCATGGGAGAGGTCAAATAATGAAAGTTCTTTGGAACTGGGGCTTTGTGAAAGCTTCAGCTGTATTGTTACCTCCGGTGGCTGCCAGGTTCAGTGGGAACACAGGCTTCCATTTCACATGGTTATTGTAGATCTGGAGAGCAGAGGATGGGAGTAGGGCAAGTTAAATACTACAGAGGTCACTGATCTTACTGAGATTTAGCCAGTTATTCTCCAATATGCTCCTCAGATTACTCCACACCTTTGGTTAATTTCCAGAGTTCTCAAAAAGTCAATTCTGACCATTTTTGCCACTTTTCTCATTGATTTTATGGAGAAGAGAATTTCTGGCAAAGAGAATTTTCTGCCTTTTTCATTGATGTCATTTAACTTTTTCTTGATACATGAAATATCTTAATCATGCTGCCTTTATGTAGCCTCAGCCTGATCTGCTGGCTCTGTTTCTGAAGGGGATTCACCCTGAATCTTGGTACTTGTCTACTTATCTCTAGACCTAAGTTTTCACTGTTCTATAACATGAGTATATCCCTAAAATAAGTTGGAGTAAAATGTGTGCTTATTGAGGCACCCAAACTAGTATATATATTAGCCCCATTATTATTTGCATACAGAGGTTTTATAGCGAAGGATTATTCTAACTGAGGCTGCAACTGACAACATGAGCATCACCTGTGAGCTTATTAGAGATGCACATTCTCAGGCCCTAACCTGATTTATTAAACCAGAAACTAGGGGGCCCATGTAACTGTTTTAACAAGAATTTCAGGTAATTTTATGTTCATTAAAGTTTAACAACCACAGGAAAAAAGAAAAGCATATAATTTACGCCAATTAAACATTCTGATCACCTGAGTAACCCTTTATTCTCTTACCTCCACAAAATTAAGTGAGATTGGATGAATTACTTATTCTCACTTATAAGCTTTATATCCAAATCTGTAAAGTGATGGGGTTAATATATAATCAAAGAGACCATGGGGTTGTTTTGTTTTGTTTTCTGTATGGCATCTGAATTATAAATCTTGCTTAGAAGTACCTTCCCCACTCAATAGTTAAAAAAACAAAAGCATAGGTAGCTCCTTTATCTTATTATGTCATTAAATGGATTTTAACTTTCATCTAGATTTTTAATCCATCCTTAAATCATTTATAATTTTGCATAAATGCATATATATATACCTTTTTAAAATTTTTTAAATTGTTAGCTATGTGTCCAAGTATCATTTATCATTTATCAAAAACTCAAGTATTTTTGGTTTGGTTTCTGGATTCTATGTTCTGTTTTGCTCAATTTGTCTATTCTCATGCCATATTATTTTGGTTAGAGTAGTTTTAACATACATTTAAATATCTAGAAAATAAACTCTCTATAATGCTCTTTTCCAAAACATTCTCAGAAATTATCACTTTTATTCTTCCATATAAAACATAAAATCAATTTGTCTAATTCTAAAAGCAAGGTCAGAATACATAAACAACCATTAGAATTTTGATTGGAGTTGCATGAAATTTATGCACTGATTTGAGAAGCATTTACAATGTTCAGTCTTCCCATTCAGGGATATGACATGTCTTCATTTACCAAAGCCTTCTTTTATGTCTTCTGTAAAATATTAATAGTGAAAGATGTGTTCTAGTCTTATGACATCCTTGATAAATTTATTTTAAGTCATCTTAAAGTTTTAGTAACTGTCATGAATGGAATCTTTTACCATTTCATTGCGAATTGGTTGTTACTAGTATCTAGGAAAGTTCTTAACTTTTTCAAATATCTATCTTATGTAATGATATCTTCCTGTGGTTGGTTGTTGTTTTTTTTTTTTATGAGTTCAAAGATGTTTTCTTTTTAGTTAAACCTCCTGAGTTTTCTAGGTATAAAATCATATTATCTGCAGAAAGTGGTCCTGTCCTGTTTTCACCTCTTTTCTAAAATTTACACCATTCACTTGATTCTGTCTTATCCCATTAACTAAAACCTCCCAAACAAGATTGAATTTTAGTGGGAAGTACCCTGTGCCTTGTCCTGTTTCCCACTGCTGTAGGGATGCATTTAGGATTTTACAATTTCATATCATGTTTTATAATGATCTCTGGTATCATTTAAAAATCATTTTAAGGAGTTTTTATTTTATTAGAAGTCCTTAATCAGTAATTTTATTGTACTTAAAGTCCTTAATCACACAATTTCTTCTCAATTAGATCAAATTTTTTTCAGGATCCAATGGTAATTCTTTACTCAAATTATTTATTAATATAATTAACTATATTGCTGGATTCCCTAATGTTGAACCATTTCGGCAAGTGTGGATTAAAACTTTTGTGTAGTGGGTGTAGTAGAAGATATCATAAATTACATTAAATGATAAATGAGAGGCTCAGAGAAAATATTTGCAATACAATGCATACTGTGTAGCATGTATGTTATATATAGATACACATATTATAGAATATTAGGTGATCTTTACTAATTAATAAAAAAGTAGAAAATAGGCAAAGGGTGTGAACATGCAAAACACAGATAAAAATAGAAATACCCAGTAAATATTTGAAAATATACTCAATCTCCCCAATAATTTTTAAAACAAATTCAAATGAGATGCACTTTTGCTTTTCAAAATGGCAACATCTAAAAGGACTATTCACATTCTCCTTCTCCCTCTCCTTCTGCCCCTCCCCCCACTCGCACACTCACACCCTTGTGTGCTTTCTCTCCCTCTCTCTAAAGACCATTCACATCAAGTGCTAGAGAGAATGGGAAAAATTGGTGTCTTCATGCATGTGTAGTGGGAGTATGAGTTAGTATAACCTTTTAAAATATAATTTCATTTCCCATATTAAAAATTTTTTAAATGTATATATGATAATCCAGCAATTTTCCTTCTGGGAACCTATACAAAAACCATGATGTGAGTTCGTAAAGACAAATGTGTCAGGGTTTTCACTGCTACCTTGCATATGAGAGTTAAGATAGGAAAATCTCTTAAATGTAAGTCAGTAGGGGCTTGTTAAGCAAATTTTGGTGGAGGATTCAATGCCATGGAATATTATGGAGTGGTTAACAGGAAAGGGTAGGTCTAAGCTAACTGAGTGTGTATATCAGAGCTCCATTCTGTTTGTTTTTGTTTTTGTTTTTTTGGTTCCATTCTTAAATATAAAAGTACATCATTGCTTTTATGTATACTGTATATAGACTCTGGGGCTTGTTTTAATAAGGATAGGATAACCAGGATCAGACCAGGTGATTGGTTGCAAGTAAGAGTAGCTAATTATGGTAGATTTAGCAGGAAAGAGTAGCCTGAGGGACCCACAGTATCCTTGAGACATCTGGAGAAATAAGTTCACTGCTTCCAGAAATTGTGCCCCACGCCATGCACAAGAATGGCCTGATGGTGGGACCTTTGCTGTCACTGAGCTGGGCATGTTACAAGTTTGCACTGACACCAGGCTCTATCACAGCTGCTGCTGCCCTGGGTCCCAGGTCAAGGGACTACCCAGGCAAGTACTGCTGCCCCAGGAGCTAGATACCTCTACCGGAAATGGATTCCACTGGATCCTCCTTCCTTAGGCTGCTTCTTCCCAAAGCAGAGCCTGTGTGTGTGTGAGGACCAGCTTGATGGAGCCTGGAAACATTGGGGATTCCACTGCCAAGAGCTAGGACCCCAAATCCTCTCGGTTTTGCCTTGGGGAAGTGGGGCTCACAGAAAACTCTACCTCCTTCCTCCGCCCCACCAATTCTCCAGCCCCTCACCTGCTCTCCTACCAGAATGTTACCTCCACAAGGAAAGGGACTGCAGTAGTCTGAATGTATGCATCTACCCAGAATCCATATGTTGACATCCTAACCCCCCAAAATGATAGTACTTGGAGGTGGGGCCCTTGGATGCACTTAGATCAATCATGCAGGTGGAACCCTCATGAATGTGATTAGTGCCCTTATAAAAGAGGCTCCGCAGAGATCCCTCATTCCTTCCATCACATGAGGACACAGCAAGAACTTTTTGTTAGATATTGAATGTGTATAAACTACATGGGTATTCATATACAGGTTTCAACTGGTTAAAAAAATGAATGAATTCTGGACATTTCTTTGTGGCTGATCTGAGGACTACACAGCTAGAAGTGGATTACACTGGGAAACACAGAGCAAAGAGCAGAACCCACTTAGGAACCATTAAGAGCTATTGGAAGAATGTAGGTGGATAACGTGACCCCAAGTAGGCAGATAAAAAGAGTTTTGAGCCACCGACAATGTTGTACAGAGATGCCAGAGGCACCTATGATGAGTCTGCATGGTCGGTTGTCTTAAGCAGGTCCGTCAGTGGGGTCAGGCCATGGGGGACTGGGAGCTCAATGGAAGAGACAGGTATGGAGAAAAGGTCCACAGGACCAATAATGCAATCAGCTTCCTAACATGTTTGGGTGATAGGAGTTCAACAGGAGGCGGATTCCATGGGAAAGAAGCCCGCCAAGGACTCCAAAGGAAGCAAATCTATTCAGTACTGCAGTCCAGCTGGTGGTCATCCCTTGAATCCTTATTTACTGAAGATCTGTGATGTGCAATCACTGGGTTGATGCTTCCGACTGTTGGAAGGAAATGCAATGTCATACAGCGTTCTTGCAGAGAAATTGCTCATGGGTTTGCAGACTTCTTTCTGACCACACCAAGACTCTTTGCTCAGAAAACATGCTGAACTTTTCCAGCTTTGATTGAAACAAAAAACTCCAAATGCTTGTATTTCTTCATCTGGCATCTTATGCAGCAGAAAACATTAGGCTGCTTTAAAAACATACCCTGAGTCACTGTTGGATTCTACCACTGTGTCAATATTAGTTAAAAAGTTGACATTCTGTCTTGTTTCAGCCACCTCTTTGATTACTAAATCGGATGTCTTATCGTACCTTCACCTTTTGATGCGAATTTCTACAAGCCACTACAGTTCTATCAAGCATGGAAAATAAAGGTGAGCATTGTTTCCATTATTCATTCTGCGCTTGACACAGGGTGGAACATCACAGGAGAAATGAAAAGTAAGAATCTGCCACAAAGAACGTGTGGTCAGGAAAATCGTGAGAAGGGCTGGATGACGTGGTTTATACCAGAGCCTAAAGGGAAACGTTCACGGGACAGACCTTTAAAGGAAGAGGACACTTGCTCTCTGTTATTCCGTCAGGGGCAGGAGCACCAGGGTGGAAAATAGAAAGCTGTGGACAATCATCGATCTGGCAGGGAGTGAATAACAGGACAGCGACTGCCACCAGGATTTGAGAGGGTTAAGGTACAAAGGAAATACAATAGTTTGTAACTAGACGGCTTTTGCTCTTACAAGTGCAGGAAACACGACCTATTTCTCCATCTTGTTTTAGGAATCCCATTACTTTTCCAGGCAACACATTGGGTGGAAGAAAGAATGAAACCCCTGTAACCCCAGAGGAAAGCCCATTGCCCATCCCGACAAAGCCATGCAGACTTGGGTGTTGCTGGGTCTTATCGTTGAGTGTTATTTTTTTTTTTTTAAGATTTTATTTATTTATTTTATTTATTTATTTTTTATTCTTATGTTAATCCCCATACATTACATCATTAGTTTTAGATGTAGTGTTCCATGATTCATTGTTTGTGCTTAACACCCAGTGCTCCATGCAGAATGTGCCCTCCTCAATACCCATCACCAGGCTAACCCATCCTCCCACCCCCCTCCCCTCTAGAACCCTCAGTTTGTTTTTCAGAGTGAGTGTTATTTTTTAAGGCAAAAGATATTCTGCCTACAACTAGGTTTCAGGGTCCAACTTCAGAAGTTCTCGGTAGTATACCAGGTCTGTTTTCTAGCTCAGGGCAGTGACAAGCTCTCACTCTTTGTGACCATCCAATATCGTCCTCCCCTTCTAGAACTGGAACTTGCCTTCTGTGGTAGATGCTGTTTTCGGTGGCTCGTCCAGATGCCTTTCCTGGGACAGACTCCGGGCCGTGGGCCGTGTAAACTTTGGCTGCTAATGATCTGCAGGTGCCCCCCCACTTTCCACACCCTCTGCTGCTTGGAGCTTGCATTGGCTCCTAGAGCCACAGACTGATGACTCAAATGACAGAAGTTTATTTCCTTACAGTTCTAGAGGCTGGAAATCCAAGATCAAGGGGTTGGCAGGTTCGTTTCCCTGAAGCCTTGGTTTTCTGCTTTTTTGGCTTGAAGATACCCATCTCCCCACTGTGTCTTTAAATGGTCTTCCCTCTGTACCTGTCTGTGCCCTAATCTCCCCATCTTGTAGGAACACCAGTCATGCTGAATGAAGGCCCACCCATATAACTTCATTTGACCTTAATCACCTCTTTAAAGGCCCCAACTCCAAACACAGTCACATTCCCAGGTCCTGGGAGTTGGGATTTTAACACATGAAAGGAGGGAACACAATTTAGCCCATAATACACCAGAAGCCTTTCTTTTTTTAAAAAGGAAACTTTCTAAAGCTATTTGGAGTCTGGTCATTACCATCCCCTGAGTATTTGATGCCCCCTAAGGCAATTTCCTGTCCGAAATCTGCAACCACAAGAACTGCGTGGCCTTTTTTTTTTTTAAGATTTTATTTATTTATTTGAGAGAGAGAGCACTAGAGAGAGAGAGAGCAAGCACGAGTGGGGGTCAGAGGGAGAGAGAGAAGCAGGCTCCCCATTGAGCGAGGAGCCCGATGAGGGAATCGATCCCAGGACCCCAGAATCATGACCTGAGCCCAAGGCAGATGCTTAACCGACTGGGCCACCCAGGCGCCCCAAGAACTGCACTTCTAAAATTACACCCACTTCCCCCCCAGAAAGAGGCATTCTTCCCCCAGGGTCACCGACAACGTGGCCAGGGAGGGACAGGACATGGACAAGCAAGCCTCTCCCTAGGAGCAGAATGGGAGTCAGGGAGAGACAGGACAAGACAGACCCTCCGAGGTTGCACAACAGAGCTGTCCAAGGGCTCGCTTTGCCACCAGGGGGCGGCGCTCTCACCCAGCAGGAGGCGGCGAGGTGCTCCACCAACCGGTGACCACCCGTACATCCTCACTCACCCCTTTCCTGAATCAGAGTTGAAGATGAATAAGAAGCAGAGACTAGATGGGACCAGAACAGTCCCATTTCCTGGAGCTTCCAAGGCTTTTCAGCAATTCCTTACAGATTTGAAGGTGGGGCCAAAGCCTCAGGGCTCTCCATGGGTGTTAGGCTGATTATGGGGCCCAAAGACGCCTATGTCCTGCTTTCGGGCACCCGTGAATATGTTACTTCGCATGGTGAGAGGGACCTTGCAGACGTGACTAACTTAAAAAATTTGAAATGGGGAGTTTATCCCGGAATACCTGGGTGGGGCGATGTAACCCCAGGATCCTGATGGAGGGAAGCGGGGCGGGTGACGGCCGTCAGAGTCAATGAAGCTGTGACAAAAGCAGCATAAGTCAGAGAAAATGCTGTCCTGGTGGCTGGGAAGATGGGAAAGGGAGCCCCAAGCTAAGAAATGTAGGTGACCTCTAAAAGGCGAGGCTCAGATTCTGCCTCCAGAGAAACGCAGCCCGGCCGACCTGCCGCCTTGGGCCCAGTGAGGTGGATCTGGGGCGTCTGACCTCCAAACTGTAAGATCACCAATTCCTGTTGTTTTAAGTCCCCGAGTTTGTGGTACTTTGTGACAGCCACCGTGGGAAACTAAAGCAGTGTGTTGCAGGTCTAAATCTGTGTTAAGGGGCTTTGGTCCAAGAACCATCACATTATCTAACTTCCAAAATGTGCATCATATTAGAAATATAAACTGTCATCTTGTACCTAAATGTAGAGCTAACTGGGCAAGAACCGGCCTGATGGGGCAATGTGCGATGTTGTCATTACCCATCCCTCCCTCGGCCTGGGATCTCATCAGTACCCAGGGGGCTGAGTGATCCGGAGATTTCATACAGGATCTCCTCACTTCAGGCGATGCTGGGAAGGGTGGCACACTCGTCTAAACCTGTAGTTCCAGCTAAGAGTTCGGGGGTCAGCACGCTCTCTCTCTCTCTTTTTTTTTTTATTTGACAGAGAGAGACACAGCGAGAGAGGGAACACAAGCAGGGGGAGTGGGAGAGGGAGAAGCAGGCTCCCCGCAGAGCAGGGAGCCCGATGCGGGACTCGATCCCAGGACCCTGGGATCATGACCTGAGCCGAAGGCAGACGCTTAACGACTGAGCCACCCAGGCGCCCTTTTTGTTTGTTTGTTTGTTTGTTTGTTTGTTTGTTTGTTTGTTTGTTTTAGCACGCTCTCTTTAACGATGAGCCAGAGAGTAAATATTCTAGACCTTGCCATCTCTGTCTTTTCTCTGCTCTTGGAGCATGAAAGGTGACAAGATGCACACAGGTGGATGTGGTCATGTGCCAGCAAAACTCGATTTACAAAAACAGGCTGCAGGAGGCCTGTGGCCCGCCAGCCACAGCTTGCTGACTTACCACCGGCCCCCGAAGGCAGGCAAACTGCTCCTCGCCACCTCCATGCCCTGGGATGAATTTGGCGACTTGGCTCTTTCAGGCAGCCTCAAAGGGCACAGGTCTTAGGGGTAAGCCTTCAAGCCACCACAAACTCCCTTACTAGGTGACCACCAGATGGGGTGCTGCCTGGGGTCCGTGTTGCCCAGCAGAACTTGTCCCCTGCCCCCCGCCTCCCGCCCAGCCCCAGTGACGCCTGTCTGTGTGGGTTGGTCTGCCTTCTTCACGCTACCCCTTCTTTACACCTCTTCTGCAAGAATCCTGCTCTTTCCCTCCAAGAAACCCTTTGGCCATTTGAGAAGAGAAAAGAAAAGGAAATAAGCTTTTCCTTTCATAACCAGAGAAAAATAATGTCCTCAATCAGATTATCCTTTATTTTTCTATTATTTACAGTCTGTTGGATATATGGTTAGACTTGGGTTTATTGCTTAGTAAACTGTAGGTAGTTTTCAGTCTACGTGAATGCTCAGTCATTATCAGCCAATCCTTTTGTTGCCTTAAAAAGTCACAAGTTACAGAACCCCACAGATAACAATGCAGATAAACATCTAACTTGCGAGTCATGTACTTGAAAACAATAGTCTGGGTTTTTGTGGGCGGAGCTGGGAGGCTACGTGACCAGCTTTCCTTATAATATAATGGCCCATTCACCAGGTTCACTACTGTTGGGGTGCCCCACTCATGCCGTCCTTGACCTTTCCTGCTCCTCTGCTCTCCTCCTCAGGTTGTCTGTCTGGTTTTAAGAATCCCCATGGTTGCTGGTCCGGTGAGGATGACAGTTGTAGATGTGAACAGAGCTGGGCTGAATAGTATAACTGAGGAGTATAAACTGAGGAGACAAAGGGACTCTCTTGGGTTTGAGCCACCTGCCTTACCTTAGCATCAGAACAAAACAAAAAATAAGCTCTTTGGGGCTTAGTAAATATACATCTATTCTTTGGCTTGCCAGTTCATGTTAAGCTGATATCTGATTTTTAGCATTGGGACACATGTTTCCAATTGCTGCATATTGGGCTTCATTATAATAAAGAAAATGTTTAATGAGTTCATCTTGAACAAAATGGTGCACTTAATGGCAATTTTAAGAGTATCGTTATTCAACAAAGCTTTTTATTTGAAAGAAATAAATTTATAGCTTCAGAAGAAAATTTTTAGCAAAGGTTGTAGAAATGGCAAAGTATGCTATTTTCCTCACCTTTTGTTCTCTTGCTATTCAACCTTCCCTCATCCACCTACACTTACTGAAGAAGAGCCCTTGCCTAACAACATGCTAGCTTATCTTCCCTGGCAAGAGCTTAGGAATCCACAGGAGGGGAACAAAGGCATCTGGAAATCATAGGTAGGCTTATCATCAAATCATATTTCTTGAGCATCCAGAAGGGGGAAAGCGCTATGCCAACGAACCTATGAGCTGAGTGAATGGGAAAACAGCCGAGACACACCAGGGAG